GATGAGGCCATGGGGAGGGGTTTGCTGATAAAGGAGGAAGCCAGAGGGGCCCTTTTTGGTAAATATGCAGATGAGGGGCATGTTTAAATGGGAGGAGGCTCGACGTGAGCGCGTGCCACACGCTTTTACTGTTTATGTGTTCTCCATGGGGATCCTGATCCTCAACAGATGCCAGCRTTTGGTGTGATCTTGCCACTGCTTTTGTTTTGGGCATTCTCTGACAAAGATATAGACAAGAAAAGAGGAGAACTGGGGAGGGAAGGAGTAAACCAGATAGAATAATGATAAAAAAATACAGTTAAAGAGAATGAATGCGGGGGGAAAACTGGAAAACTGCTCCGGGGCATATTTTCACCCCAATGACRAGACGCGATGATTGCTGTTTTGCCCCATCCCTCCTCCCTTCTACCTCCCCAGACGTTTTTCTAATCCATTTGCATGTCAAAGCAGTGGAGGCCACTGCGCAGATTAGTATGAGATGACATAATGATGTAATGAATTAAATGCTCCTGTTTAAGCTCTGCACTTTGCTCTGGTAGGAGGCAGGACGGTGAGCTAAGAGAGGAATTAAAGGAGGGGGTAGAGACTCTGCTGTGTGTTTGTGTTTTCTGTAAATGCTTTTAAATACGTGATCAAAGTAATGTTTCCTGCCTGGTTTGATTAAAACTACCTCTATGTCTGCAAGGATTTTTATATGGTTGGCATATTTTAGGCATATTTTGAATTCTGCTTTTTGAATGTCACCGCTTTTGCTCCGCTGAACCATTCAAAATCCAATATTAGAAAAATAATATTGTAAATAAAAAGTCATATTGGAATGTATTTTTTTATAGATGTGACAACTCATAACTCTAATTTTCATAACATTTTAGTCTTCGTGTTTCTATTTTAACACACCAATTAAATCATGAAACATTTATTTCTTTTGCAGAAACTGTTTTTTGGAATTTTTTTCTCCCTTTGTGAAAAGAGTCTAAAAATATCATATTTTGGCTTGAAATTGGTCAAAGGTGCACTCTTTTGTTTTATGCAATATTTCTTATTTTTCAAAGATGTATTTACTTGACATATTTTATAATGATTGATTCTTTTTTTTTTTTTTGCAAATTCCTGCATCTTTCAGTTAGAATGGCTGTGTTAAATGAAAAAATACAAATGAGGCTGAAAACATATAATATGAGACACCTGGGCCTCTGTAAAGAAACGCCTGCTGTGTGACACTAGCTGGAGTTTTATCATTCACTGCTGTCAGACTCCCATCACAGAGATGATGCATATATAAAAGTTCTCCATCTCTCTGCTTTTACTATTCATACCTGCACTTTTATTGATATATGGGCTTCGTTAATTTTTGTCAATATTTAGCTTGTTTACTGCCTCAAAAAAACCTGACTTTAAAATCAATGCTTAATGAAGACATCATGATGCATATAATGGTAAATGAATTTATAGATTTATTTACAGAAATGGGGAAAAAGTCATTCTGAGGTAATGTTTCATGAGTGTTACAATTTGATAATACATTTTAACACTCATTGATTTATGAGTATCAGGAAACATTATTTGAGTGTTTGTTTTTCATTTTGATTTTATGAATAAATTCTGTCCCTTGTATGGTCCAGGAGACACGTCCAGGCGGGTGTGACTGTGTGGAGTCAGCTGGCTGGTGCAGAGGGTAATGAGTATGCACCGTGACAGCTGGGATAAAGTGTATAGATGTGTTTGGTGGGAGTAATCAGCTGCAGACCACGGGGTGCACAACGGTGATGTGAGGCTTTATGACTGCAGAGCTCACACACACACACACACACACACACACACACACACACACACACACACACACACACGTGCACATAGTGGTCCATTGGGACTGCATGCTTCGCCTCACCCCTGTACTGCCGGACATAACCTGAGCTTTCTTGTTTCTCCTTTTTGAGTTCAGTAGAATATATTTGCCAGTATATCCAGTGCTTTATCGATACTGTTTCTTTATTTTATCCAGCACTCATGATGAAGACACCCAAAAAGTAGTGGAGTTAAAAAACAGATCAAATAATTACGTTTAAAATCGTATTTAATTACGAWACAGAAAAGATAAAGTGTTTTGGTTTGTTAAGCCCACGCTGTAAAATATTAGAAGTGTTTTTTTATTTTTTTATTTTATAAACAAATGCTTTTCCAATATTGCAGAAGAAAATGAATAATGTGGCATCATATATTTCTCTTGGTGGTGCTGTGTAATTGCATTACTGAACAGATTTTCTTTGTTGCAAACCACATCTCAATTTACGTTTTCAGAGCCTGTGGCTGCAGTACTTTACAAATAATTGACATAAACTAGGCCCTCCTGGCCAATGAAATTGAACACACTAATAAATGCATAAAGGGAAAAATAAATATTGATCACCCRGTACATGAGAATAATGTAGCTTTGATTTGATTCTCACAGTTTGTGGGTTATTTGTTGCACGCGAGTGAGTGGGTGACACTCTTGTGAATTTGTTTCCCTGTCTGCAAATATTCACCACAAAGTTTTAGTTCGGTGCTGTTTGAAATGGTGTTACTCTCTGACACAGGAGATGAAACAGATACTGGCTTCAGCTTTGACTTGTGATAACTCTTCTGAATGTGTACAGTACTGCATGTTTGGCGAACGTTTCATTGGATTACATGTGTTGGAGTTGGAGCCCTTGACTTGAACTCTTTGCCCTGTCTTCGCCCTTCCTCAAGTTTTTTTTTCTTCTTCTTTCTTTTCTCTTTTCTACAATGAGGAGAATAGGTGGGAAAGAGGATTATTGGTATTGATCTACCTCGGAGGATCATTAGGCATCACTATCAATTCACAGCTCCGAGCGCACAGCTTGGGCCCGCACAGACATTACCAATTTGTCCCTATTAGAGAACCCAGTTTCAGAGTGTCTGATGTAAAAGGCTGATCAGGCTGGACCACAGAGAAGCTGTCCAGGGCCTGCTGTGGGCCTGATCACTTGTTTTACATCYAAAGTTATAGGACTCACAACTCCAGGAAGACATTCCCCCCCTTTTTTATATTTTTGAATTAGGACATCTTACTTAAACTATATTTTGGTTGAACAAAAATTAAGAATTTTTTAGAACCTTGGCACACATTCCACTTCCTKCAGGTGTCTTCCTCTACATTGCCATATTTACTGAGGGGTAATTGGCACTGTAATAGTATACTTCAGTGAGGCTTAGCCAGCCTGGCCCACTTATCTATGTAAGCTGGCTGTTCTGGAGACTAAAGCTGCTAGATCCGTTGTCACTGACTTTAACCCTCTGCTGGATTCAGGTGTGCAGGGAGCTGCACTGCTGACTGCCTCTGCATACCATGATGGGTGGTAGATGTCAGCAGGTACCATCTGTTCAATTTAAACACATCAAATTCACTCAAATATATGAGCTTATCAAAAAATAAATTGCACACCTTTTACCTTTTACATTTTATGCAAGTACAAAAAATTTACTGGTGTTAGGTCAGCATGCAATAGCTTCAAGATGAATCAGGGTTCCTACAGTTTAAGACAAGTTAAATTTAAGACGTTTTAAGACTTTCTGATGCCAAAAGAAATTAAATTTAAGACCAATTTCACAATAAACATAAAGGACAAAAAATAAAAAATAAAAACTGGCTTTGAATCCAGCTCACGAATCCAAGTATTTTTGGTTGAAGTATTCAAATATTCCTAATAAACCAATTGTTTTTAACCATAYTGAACTACCTTTTTTGGTCAAATATAGCAAAAACATTCTTAGCAGTCAGTTTTAAACTTAATTTAATTCCTGGAAGTTCTCTAACGACCCAAAATTTGGAGTTTTAGGACCCACAGTGGGGTCTCAACCCTAATTTGCTGTGGATGAAACCTTAAAGTGCCTGTGACATCAACTTTTTTGTAAGAAATTTGAATACATTTTTGGAAAGACAACACTATTAACATATTATGAAACAAATTTCACGATGCTCTGATGGTCAGTTGTTGAGCTATTTGCATGTGAAGCAATGGGAAGTGATGTCAAAGAGGAATGTCTGCATGTGAACTTTTAAAAAATGTTACCAATTATTTTAATATTTGAGATGAATTACAATCATCCTATTTACAATGWGTTAACATTTTTAAGACCTCCGACAGATTGATTAAGACCTTATTTTTGGATTGATGAATTCAAYGYCTTTTAAGACTTTTAAAGGACCTGCAGGAACCCTGTGAACATCACTTGATACCCTGTTTTGTGAAATTAGAACAAAGTGAATTAGAAGACATGCCACTTTGAATCATTTACAAAGCAACAATATGCATAGTTTAAAAAAAACAAGTAGCTCTTTCTTTTCTGGTAATTTTATTTTTAATGAGAAGCTTACATTTAAAACCAAATAGCATTCTGATAATTTTATAKCTGGACATAGTAGAAGAATTGAAGAATTTGGTTTGCCTAAATTTATTTGCTGTAATTACAAAGATTAAACGGTTTTGCAGTAATTTGTCACCAATGATAATTTTACCGAGCAAACTTTGCGTGTTGAGGTTTGTTTCAGGCCCATGAATCCCTTCTGAAATGTTAACCATTCACACACATCCACAAAGAGCCAGCCAGTCAAACCTTTGCTTTTAGACCAAGCAGGTCAGTAAACAGCAGGGATCCCCCCCCCCCCCTCCCTCTTTAGCATTTTTAAATTCTTATTTTTACCTTTTTAATACAGCCAAGCAAAATCACACACACCAGTGTACTCCTGTAATAATTCCACCCTCACTGACACAAATACAAAAAGAATGAATATGCTTTGTTTGGTTAGAAAGWCAAATCTCTGACTTTGTAAACAGAACCCTGGTTAGAGAGAGCAGTGTCATTTCACACTGGTCTATTAGGGAGAGAGCTGTGTGTGAAGGACATCCTGCAGACCTTTTAAGTGCTCTAATAAATCATCTTCAACACATTCAAAATTCATCAGCACTCACACTTTGCCCTCTGTCTTCCTGAAACAGCCCTGCATGGTCAGGCGGCCAAACCACATGAACACAGTTAGCAGAAACTGTGCTCCGGGGGAGCAACACATCGGTCTTCAACCTGAAGTTTTTATTTTTTATTTTTTTTGCATGAGGAAATCAAAGACTTGCTGGTAATGACTTCAGTCTGGGCCATGCGTGGGGGTCCGTTTTGAGCTGCTGTTCCCCAGCCGTGGCGGTGCTTTCACACATGCTCATTCACAGGCAGCTCATAGGACACGGCGAGGCTCGACCCCGCTCGGTCAACGACCACACAAACGACATGTGGAGCCAGCTCTGGGCCCGTTCAGTCAGTCACACTTAATCACATATAGAAACGCAGAAAATATTTGTAGGAGTAAGTCATCAAGGAGAAACAAAAACCAGTGAATGTAACGAGACCATTGTTTGAATGGTAAAATGGACAAATGAAGGAARGGAAAGGTTAGAGTCAAACTGGTGATGCAGTCTCAGCAGCGTTGCTGTTGAGAAACCAACAGAGGGCAGTGTGGCTTGTATSAGAGGAAAGCCAGCAGCTGGGGTTCAAGGTTGTGATCACCTGACATGAGCAGACAGACACACACACACACTTACAGTACACATGTTTTGTGTTTTGCCTGGTTATTATATACATAAATGATAAACAGACTCCAATAATCTTTTCTTCTTTATGATCTGTGGAGGAAAAACTCTCTGATCTCCTCTGTGGCTGGTGTGCCTCTCTCATTGGTTAATTTCCTCTCAACTCATTCAGAATCAGTGTCGTTTCAAGGATGAAATATCAAATACTGCACTGTAGTTGAAAAGYCAGCTCATTTATTTACTACATCTTAAAAAATATTATCTTAAAAATAATATTAGAAGCAAAAAGAAGAGTGGGCATTTGATAAATTAAACAGACCACATGGCTGTGTGCTGGTTTGATGCTATTCATCTTTTTATGAGACAGTAGAGACGGACTGTCTGGGTGTAATCAGATGAAATCATTCATGATTCTTAAAAATGTACAAATAAAARTGAAATAAATTGCTCAGAGTTGGTGGGAGCGGTTTGTTTTTGTCATCGGTGGGTTTCACTGGTTGAAACTCCCTCCAGAACACTTTTGTATCACCTTGTATGTTTTGTTATTCATGAATGTGAGTGCTTGGTTCGCAAATGGTGTGGTTTAGTTTGTGAGTAAGGGGGGAAAAACAGGAAAAAAGAAAGGAGAGATGGATGAGGGCAGTTTGGGGGCCATGKGTGTTTTAATTATCCACTGCTCTGTTGTTGGGTCAGAGCTTGCTATCTCTTCCCGCCTTTAATGATTTGAGCAGTACCTTCATCCCTAAACCTTCTGCTCCTCCAAACAAAGGAAAGGAAGAGGGTAAAAAAAGGGTATTAAAGTCATGACTGTCCCACATTTACCATTAATATCTCTCAACCTCCTCCTTTTAAAATGTAGAGCTGAGGAACCAAGTGCCCCTAGTTAGGGCTGCTTGGATGGAAGGTCCTCCTGCACAAGGGAAGTGGATCTAATTCTGCTTAAAAGCTCAAGCTAAGTGCTGGCAGCCTCCTAAACAAGTGGGGTGAAGGTGCACATTTTTTTCTCCTGACTCCAATMCTTTTTTTTTGCCTTTTTTGAGGGGAAAGATCATCGAAATGCCAAGCATTCCAAAAACACAGTCTGATAACACTATTGGCTGGGAAAGAGCTACAGCGGATGGACATATAGTGGTCATGTGACCGAGTTCTCCCTGAAGCATTTTACAGATCTGTGCTTGGAGTCGATTTCACTGTTAATAACTGTACAGAAGAGAAGAAAGAACAAAAATGAATGAATAAATAAAATATTAAAAAATAAAATAAAACAATAAAAATCTTAAGGTAGTTTTTCAGCTTTTGACAATGCTTCTTTATGTGTCTTATATTTTATAATAATAATAATAATAATAATAATAATAATAATAATAATAATAATAATATGAACATTCAGTTCTTATTGCCAATTTTTTGTGTGTAAAAATAAATACTGGAAGAATTCAACACACCATTTTTAGGGTTAAAATAAGTAAACATTTTGCAAAAAAATTCAACACAAAAATAAAAAAACTATTAAAGTTCAAATAAAAAAATAAGTCTTGACACGTTTTATATCTATATTTTGATGTGGTTAGGAAAATATTTCAAAAATGATTTAGCCGAGTTAGGAAAATATTGGTTCGGTCTATAAACGCACAACCTTTTAATCCTTTTTCTTTTTTTCCCCTCTGTGTGTACATTATATGCCAACAAAAATGCACAAAGCAAACGTATTTATCGGCTTGTGCATAAAGGCTTGACAGCGTATACTGTATCTGAGTGCCTGTGTGTAAGTCTGTAATTTCTGGACTCTCCTGCATCTCCATGACAACATGGTTTTGATGTGGGTCTCTTTCTGACATTTCCCCGTTTGGGGAGGCTCATGAATTGCCTTGCCTCTCCTTCAGTCAGCATGTCACATATAAAAAAGGAGGTGTTGGGGGGTGGGGGTGCAGATACATAGAGCAGGGGCGTGGGGGTTGGCAGTATGAGGAATCTAATGGGCGTCTGGTCTGATTGTCCTCAGCCGTGGCAGAAGAGACAAAGCAGATGAATTGTGCAATGGATTCGAAGAGATTGGAGACAAGTGCATGTCAGCGGCTCCTCCATCCCCCCCACCACACACCCCTATCCTCCAGGATCCCTCCCCCCCCACTTTTTTTTGTCTGACATCCTGTAAAAAGCAGGCATGACAGCATTGCTCCGCTTGAGCAAAACATTGAAAACAAAATGCAATCCTCGCCCATTTTGTTTTTATATTAGATATTCAGACCGACAGCCAGCGTGTTGGACTCGTAATAATTGTGAAACACACTGCGTGAGAGATTTCCACGGTGTTAATCACTGAGCAAACATCAGGGACAGTTTGATCTGTGCCATCTCAGATAAATGACAGCATTTTTAGAAAACAGATTTTAAGATAAAGRCACTTATCTAATCATCCTGAAAGAAGCTGCTTTTCATCTTCCATTCTTATGGTTTTGCTACCAGATTTTTAAGGAGGATAATCCTGTATCACACTTTTTTTTTTGACAAGTTGTTTAGTTAGTGTGTCGGACTGTGCTTTTTGCTAACTTCCTGAAAAATGTCCACAATACATGTCCTTCCAAAGATACCACGTCTTCCATGGAACGACGATTCCCAAAGAGCGAGAAAACCTGTTGTTTTTGTGCTTTAAAGCTCGGTCCGGTATCACAGCTTGAGTAGATGTTCTGTGTTAGCTGCATAGTCTGGAGCTGTAAGTGTGAAGATCTTTTACAGTAAATGCGTTGATGGATTTTAGACAGCTACTGTGGCTTTGAAGTTTCAAAGACGAAAACACTCGGGGATCACGTTTCTTTCACAAGACATGCTGAAGGGTGGGTTTAGCTACATTCTGTATATGTTATTTTTATATATATATATGAAATGAACTCAAGAGTTAGCAACAGAAAAAGTGCTGAAACTTTAATTTCTCAAATTTATTTTATCTTAAAAAATAAAAAAAAACTCCAATATCACAATGTACAGGCACAACAAACCTCCCTCCCCTTCCAGTGACCACCTTGACAGAACTGGTCTGCCAGCTTTTGTTTTGTGTTGACTGCATTTATTATTCATCTTTACACCAGTCTGTATTTTAATATGAATAATGGAAGAGGTATCAGAGGAGGAATAGGGATGTGAGAGAGGGGTGCCACGCAGCATGTGTCCTTGGTTCCTCTCCACTCCTGCTCTCTTCAGAGAGAGGAGCAGGTGGAAGGAGGTGTGGGGGGCTAAAGAAAGCATGTGGGAGGGGTGAGGATCCAGCCTAGTGTCTAGCTAAGGCTGCCGAAGGGCCCTGGTTCTGGGTCCTGCTTGTTCTTTTTGCCCCGACCCGTCCTGCTGCCTGCTTACCTGGCTGCCTCTCTTGTCAAATTTGATAACAGTATAAATCAAAAGCCCCTTGTCACCCACACAGCTTTAATTAAATTCAAATGGTGAACGGCTCTCTTTGGATCCATTTTTAATAAGTCCAGGTGATCAAATATGGGGTGAAAAATGGGTCATCGTTTTGCTGCCCCAAAGTCAGGTCACCATCAGTTTCCTGTAAACAGAGAGAGGATCTCATGCAGACCCACTGTCAACAGTCTCTGCAAGAGCTTCTAAAAAGAGTTTTTACAATTGTTGCTCAAACAATGAACTTCCACTATTAGAATACTTTCTGTTAAGTTTCTCAGTGTTTCCAAACCAGGATTCTTGTTGGAACCTTTCTGTTTATTGTTGTTGATTTTTGGTGCACGGTTTTCTTTTGTTGTGTCTTGAAAATGTTTACGATTTTAGCATAACCACCCAATACGAAAGTCATATTTATATTTGTCACACACTCCTAAATAAAATCATATTACAATTAGTCAATACAGCAAAGAGAATTTGCATCCTACATCAAGTGCATTTTTTTGATGATCAAAATGAAGAAAAACTGCCTGCATTGTGCAACTTGCAAGCAGAAGAGGGCACTATGTGTCGCTGGTGTGCTTTTTCTGCCTCTCTCTTGTCTCATCCCTCTTTGCACTGCTTCCCTCTGTCTTTGTAACAATTTGCCATATATGTGTACTTCAAAGCCAGAAGCTGCCTGAATTCATGTTTGTGATGGAGGAGAAAGTGTGAGATCATACACACTGAAGCACATGTTGAATAATTAGGATTAGTAGCAGAAACCATTGTTTTACTTGATGAAAGGGTGTTTACTGTGCATATGCATGTTCACATTCAGTTTCTGAATATTGTCTTTTTATTTGCTCAAAACACTATTGATAATTATTCAAAATGCAGTTTTTAATTTTGTTTAAAAAATCAGCAGGTTAAGTCTCTGCATGATCCAAATATGCCATCATTTTCTCCACAATTTCCTTGTTTTCTCTGAATTTAATATTGCAATAACCTGCAGCCAGTGTTACACATGATTAAAAGTCCTTGCTTAAAACAATCTTTACACTGCACAAACTGTCCATCTTCCAAGTTTTAAAACCTTATATCAGCCAAAAAGTCTTTTTGATCTCGTTTTGAGACTGATTTCCTAAACAAGAACTGATTGTATAAGAATAATAATCTTGTTTTCAGAATGTGTAAGATTATTTGTCTTGTTAGCCTGAAAATTTGAATCAAATTAAGGAAAAATTTCTGCCAATGAAGTAAGAAAATTTTACTTGCTAAGATTCTTGAAATAAGAAAAAATTGAGTCAAATCAAGTATTTCAAGAAGCTTACCAAGTAAAATTTTCTTACTCCATTGGCAGAAAATTTTTTACTTAATTTGAGTCAAGACAAATAATCTTACACATTCTGAAAACAAGATTATTATTCTTACACAATCAGTTCTTGTTTAGGAAATCAGTCTCAAAAGAAGATCAAAAAGACTTTTTGGCTGGATATAAGATTTTAAAACTTGGTCAGGTGGACATTTTTTGCAGTGGATAGTCATTTTAAAAATAGTACAAAGTTTGTATTCCAACAGTTACAAGTTTTTCAGCCTTTTTGAGTAAACACAGTGTTTCAATAAATTCTTCCTCACTTAGCAGCAGCCAAAGTTTCATTGTCTTCAAGAGAGATTTTTTTCTGCTTTGAGGTCAATCTTTTGTTTGAGAGAAGAGCGATCCTTTGCTTGTTTGTCCTCCACACCAGTCAGATGATCATTGGTGATACCAGAGAGTGTGTCCTCTATAGGCAGGTCAGAGCAGCTCCCATCACCCCCCGGTGTGTCTGCCTCCTGCCTCTGTTCTTCCTGCCTCCTTTCCTGTTGCCATCGTGGCCTGCCATGTTAGTGCAGRCCCCCGCTGCTCAGCCCTCTCCTTCAATAAATCTTCATATGTGTTGGTAGAGAAGGTGGAGGGTACACAGACAACAGTGAGCACCGGTACTCTCCATCAAAGGGTTATCTGGCTTTCACAGGCGCGCTGACAGACTGCTCTCTGACATGGAGCTAAGGCCAAGTGCCTCRTCCCTGATGGGAGGAGGTCTCGGTTCGGAGGTCTCGGTTCGGAGGCAGGAAAGTAACTCATTTATACAAACTACGRAATTCTTCAAAAGGTTCAAACAGCAAAAACAAAAGAACATGTAAGAAAAATACAACAAAAAATGGTTCAAACAATTCAAGTCAGTTTGATCATTTTGTACCTATTTGAATATTAATTTTATTGTGCAAACGTCCTTGAATAGTTTCAGTTTATAAATTAGTTTTMACTTTTTATTTAGGTTGTTGAGCCTTAAAAGAACAAGAAGATATTTATATATCTTTTTTTTTGGGTGTGGGGGGAGTTTGAATTTTCGGGTCTATCCTGAGTGTTGCCAGTGCCGCCGTAATGAATTACCTGCCTCAAATTTTGCAACTTAAAAAGTGGGAACGAGAGTAAACCTTTTGTTTATGTCA